TAATGATCTTTATTAAAAGTCTCCCTCTAGCCAAAGGGCTGTAGGGGACACATTCTTTCTTTTTCAGCCAAAGAAGGGGGAGTGGGGGGAGTCTGGTATCTATACTCCTTCAAACTATTTCCTTTAAAAAAATGATTTTAAAAACATCTGAAGTAAAAGGAACTGGGCTCCTTCCTTTACGAGCTTAATCGTACATCGGGAACGTTTAGACGTCAGAGATGAATAAGGCCTGAGCTGTCCTGAACAAGTTCACAGAGTGGTGGGGAACATGGCATGGATGCACATAGAGCACAGTATCTGAGTGCTGTCACCAGGACCAAAGGGTCCACAAACAGCTCTAGCTGTGACTGGGTTTGTGGCTCTCAGAGTAAAGAGGCTAATGGTAGCATCCCCATGTGCAGGAGACTGAAGGTTACAGTCTCCCTCACTTCCACACCTCACTCAGCACTGTCATTCCATTTTACACATGAGAAACATCAAGGCCCGGTGTTTTTAACTCACATAGCTGTTAGGCAGCAAAGCGATTCCTGAGACTTGAGATGAAGATGTGAGTAAACCCAATGCCTGTGAAGGTCTCGCCTCCGCATGTCTAATCCAATCTCTGTTGCTAATAACAGAATCCCGCTGACTAGGAGTTATAAAGAAAGAAGACTTATTGGGACTCATAGCTCTGCCCAGGTCAAAGGTCATGTGAGGAGACAGCCACCAAGTCCTGACAGGAGCGAGGCCAAGTGTGACGTGGTAGGAGACAGGAAGCATGCGTGTGTGCCTCTTCTGGTCTCTCCGTCTTCGCAGAAACCCATCAGAGTTCATTCTTACCCAGTCCTGATGACTTTCCAAAGTTCCCTGCATGGAGACCACAGTCACATGAAGTTTCTACCCTTTTAATTGTTCATAAGAAAGATTGAGCATCAGCAAGACGGGGCAAATTTATTCAAAACAGAGCAGAAGATTACACTAAACTTCACTAACCCTTTTAATCTCTTGAGTGAATTCTCAGTGTAATTTGCTTTTAGAAAGTTATCTCTTTACTCAACCATAACATGAATTATAATAATTACATAGTTTTAGGACTTAAGACCCCACTTTAATATGAGAGCTACAACAAGAACGTCTACACATTTTGAAGCACCTGAGACGGTCTTTACCTTATTCTACCCAAGTAGCTCAATGACCCTCTTCGGTGTATCTGAAAGCTCACAGGAGTTACATGGACTCTGGCAAAGCATCTTTGTAGACATCATCAGGTCTACAGCAGAAGTCTACAAGCTGACAAGCTGGTGTTTGGTCACTTGAATAGGAAATGAATTAGGTTAAACAGTTAATTCTCATGTTTTAGTGTAGAAAGGATTTCTAGATCGATTCCTCACCATCACACAATAACCCAAACTTACAGACAAAATGGTTATCTATCACCTTATCACTAGTGTCTAATCTCAGAAACGTAGTGCCATCCACTTGGGTCCTTCCCTCCAGTGCCTACATCCTCAGCATATTCTATATGTTTAAAGGAGAGCTAGTCTGTGTCTCTGTGATAAACACCATGACCAAAAGCAACCTGGGGGAGGAGACAATTTGTTTAGCTTATGGTTTACAGCCCAATCACTGACAGAAGCCAAAACAGGAGCCCAAGCAGGAACCAGGAGGCAGGACCTGAAGCAGAGCCCACAGGAATGCTGTGCACTGGCTTGCTCCAGGTTTTAGGGTCACCCACCCCAAGCAGGAACCAGGAGGGAGGACCGGAAGCAGAGCCCACAGGGAATGCTGTGCACTGGCTTGCTCCAGGTTCAGGGTCACCTACCCCAAGCAGGAACCTGGAGGCAGGACCTGAAGCAGAGCCCACAGGGAATGCTGTGCATTGGCTTGCTCCAGGTTCAGGGTCACCTACCTTTCTTTCTTAAACAACCTGGGACCATCTGCCTGGAGAGGGGGGATACCCCCTACAGTGGGTGGGAAACCCCTAACGCTGCCAACTAGAATTAATCTTTAACCTTGGATATGTGATGACTAAACATGATATGTAATCCAAAGAACTACTGTTGATGACTTTAAACAATTTTTTGTTTGTTTGGTTGATTTGTTCATTATTTGAGACAGGATATCTCAGTGTAGCCCTGACTATTCTGAAACTCACTATGTAGACCAGACTGGCCTCGAACTCACAGAGATCCGCCTGCCTCTGCCCCCCAAGTGCTGGGATTAAAGGCATGCGCCACCACCGCTCGATTTTTTTTAAGATTTTTTTTTTTATTTAGGTGTATGCCTGTGTGAGTTTACGTACACCATGTGCATGCCTTGTGCCCACAGAAACCTGAGAGTTTTACAGATGGTTTTAACTTGTTTCATGTAGGTGCTGGGAACTAAACTTGGGTCCTTTGCAAGAACAGTATTTGTTCTTAGCTGCTGAGCCATCTCTCCAGCTAAACAATTTTTTTTTGAGACAGGGTTTCTCTGTGTAACATTCCTAGCTGTCCCAGAACTCACTTTGTAGACCAGACTGGTCTCGAACTCACAGAGATCTACCTGCCTCTGTCTCTCAATTGCTGGGATTAAAGGTGTGCCCCACCGCACCAGGCACAGACAGCTAAACAGTTTTAGAAGGAGTGACACAAGTGGTCTTCTTACTCTACCCCAAAAGGGGAAACACACTGTGGTGGTGTGAATAAAAATGGCCTCGCAGACTCACATATTTAAATGCTTAGTTAGTCATCAGAGAATGGCACTATTTGAGAAGGATTAGGAGGTGTGGTCTTGTTGGAGGAAGTGTGTCCTTTGGGCATGGGCTTTGAGGTTTCAAAAGCCCAAGCCAGGCCCAGCTCTCTCTCTCCCTGCTGCCTGTGGATCAGGATGTGGAACTCTCAACTACATCTCCAGCAACATGGTGGGAAGCATGCCTGTGTGCCACCATGCTTCCCGCCATGGTGGTAATGGACTAAGCCTCTTTGACAAGAGTTGCCATGGTCATGGTGCCTCTTCACAGCAATAGAACACTGACTAAAACACACGTTTGTTCTCAAGGCAGGGAAGATGACTCAGGGATTAGGAGCACTCACTGCTTTTGCTGAGGACCTGAATCCAGTTTCCAGCATCCTTATAAAGACTGACAAGCACCAGTAACTCTAGTTCCAGGAAATCCAATATCTTCTTCTGGCCTCCATGGTCATTGCATGCATGTGATGTACATACACTCAGACACACACATAAAATAAATAAATAAACCTTTTAAGAACAAACAAAAAAGTATTTGCTCCCAGTTGTATTGTTTTTAGGAAACTACGCTCAAATTAATTAATATTGCTCTCATGGACATCCGAAAAAGACTACCGTTGTGCTTAGCCATAAGACAAGGCACCTAAACTACAGCTCAAATTGCCAACAGGTAATATGAGAGAGGGCAGATACCTCAGAGTGCCTAAAGGGACTGTGTAATTACCCCACACTCCCAAAGGCACATAGAAAAAAATCCAAGAATTTGTGAAGGCAAAGACACAGAGATATGTGCTTGGTTTTTATTTTCATTTTAATCGCAATCTTACTCCAGTATGTCTTCAGAAATAGAAATCATACTTTTTAAAGGAGTGTTATAAAAATGAAGAAAAATATGATCTCCAATATTTCCTTGTACATATTATCGATAGCTCAGTACCCTTCACAATGCAGGAGTCCATGATATTTTCAACTACAAAGGTATCTGAAAGCCAGGAATGGTGGTACCTGGTGGCATGTGACTCGTCCTAGCACTCGGGAGGCTGCAACAGGAGAATGACAGGTTTGAGGCTTTTCTGAGCTATACAGTGAGTGCAAGCCCAGTCCATACTGAAGATATATATCATTGCTGGTTATCATGATACCCTATCTCAAAAACAAACAAATTCATAGGGGTGAAAAGCTATTTTTTGTTTATTTGTTTCATTTTGTTACTGTCTATTTTTGAGACAAGGACTCACTATATAGCCCTGGCTGCCATGGAACTCACTAGGTAGACCAGGTTGGCCTTGAACTCATAGAGATCCACCTACCTCTGCCTCTAGAGTTCTAGGATTAAAGGTGTGTGCCACCGTGACTAGGTTATGAAAAGAAAATCTTACAAAGCACCATGATAGTAGAATTTGACGTCAGCATCTATATATAAGAACAGTGTGCCACACAAGATTGCACATATACACATAGAAAATCCTTTTATCAAAAAGAACATGTATTTAAGTGGCTGGAGCAATGGCTCAGCTGTCTTGAGCTCTTGCTGTTCTTTAAGAGAATCTGAGTTCAGTTCCCAGGACCCAAGTCATTTGGTTCACAACCACCTGTCACTCCAGCTTTAGGGGGACTCTGGCGCCCTCCTCTGGCCTCCACATACACCTGCACATATGTGGCAAACATTCACACAAACTGACACACAAATAAAAATAAAACTTTTTAATGTACATGAAATCATCATTGTGTTATAAATTTTATTTATTTGAAAGCAAAATAGAATTGTGTCCCATTTTCTTTTCACTCCTGGAAATGAAATGCCATGGCAACACTGCCCTTGCCACCTCTGCAGCCATGGGGACAGAAGGAGGAATGCCAAAGCTCTGTCTTCCAAGATTCACTCTTCAGACAGGGAAGCTTCCCCAGGAAAATCAAAGTAAGCCTGAGATGCAACAGCAGGCCCTGTTCCCACAGCTAACTGTGGAACCTGGACAGTGACTGAGTTTGAATCAAGTGACATTAAGTCCCTTCCTTCACAGATAACTTTGAGGCACATTCCCAGAGATTCAGGAAGGCTTCCTCTGCAGCCTGAGGAGCAAGCCCAGGAATGCAACCAGGGCATCTGTTTGGGGGCATGGAGTGGCAGGATTTTGTTAGGTTGCTGAAAAAGCACAGTTAAGTATCTGTTAAAAAATCATACCATTCTATCTCTTTAAAAACAGAAAGAAAGGGCGGGGGGAATACATGCCGATTTTGCAGCAGGAAGCCAGCCCACATGACAAATTAGTCAAGATGAAATGTGGTGGTTTGGCATTTCTGGAAATTCAATTCTCGGTTTTTGAAAAAGTCTGGGGGAAACAAGACATCTTATTGTTAAAGTGGAATAAGTTAGCATAAGGCAGCAGCCCACTTTTAAGAAAAGCTGGTTTGCAAACAGGAAAGAATATTTCAAAACAGAAAGGTTGTCTATAAAACAGCCATCTGAAATAACTGCACGGCAATCACTCAGACAGGGAGAGGCGGCACCAGGAGCCAACAGCAAGAGCCAGGAGGCTGCACCAGCAAGCAGGCCCTACGCACACTGTAGCTTCTGCTTCCTTTTACCAAAAGTCAGGAGAAAGGCACACGTTCTTCAGAGTGGAGTTGCTGGCAGTGTCAGAACATGAGCAGGCCTTAAGTCTCAAGGAAAACTCACAAAGTAGAAGAGATCCCAGAATGGAAATACTAAGGTCGGGACCAGAAGAGGTACACAATCACCCCACAGAGCCAAGATCAAAGACACTCTGGATCAGAGAGGACAAGTCCAGAGGGCGACCAGAGTTCCAGCTCATTGAGTGAAAGAGGCCGAAGCCAGAGCAGCAAAGGAACATGTAACACAAAGCAGCTGTGGAACACGTGATATGGAGCTTTGGAGATTTTACCAGCAGGTATCAAATAACAGAAGAAACGGATTCCGAACCCTTGAAGACTAGAACCGTTGGTTCCAATCAGAGGAACACAAGCTTCAGAATAGCATGTGTAAGTATCATACATATTCTGTGGGAAGGTTGTGGGGCATATGCTCCTGGTGGGGTACATGTGGGTGTTCAAGTGCACATGCACACACATGTAGGGGCTGGAGGTCAACTTCAGAGCTCATCTTGCTTTTTGTTCATTCATTTCTTTATATGTGCAAAGGAATACATGTGTATTCCACATACATGGCATGCACGTAGAAGTCAAAAGACAACTTGTGGGAGTTCATTCTCTCTTTCCATCATGTGGGACTGGGGATCAAACTGAGGTTACCAGGCTTAGGGACAAGTGCCTTCATCTGCTGCATTAATTGCTGTGGTAATACACCACAACAAAGGCAACTTATAAAAGGAAGAACTTATTTGGGCTTTTATGGCTCCAGGGGGATAAGAGTCCACGATGGCGGAGTGGAGGCATGGCGGCTAGAGCAGGAAGCCGAGGACTCACATCTTCCAACTGCAAGCAAAGAGCCAAGAGAGCGAGCTGGGAATGGCTCCATGCTTTGACACCTCAAAACTCATCCCCGTGATGCACTTCCTCCAGCAAAGCCACATCTCCTAGATCTCTCCCAAACAGTGCCACCAACTGAGAACCAAATGTTCAGATGGTGGGCATTCTCACTCAAACTGCCACGCCCAGGGGCCATCTCACCAGCCTCCATCTTGTTTTTGGAGACAGGGTCTCTCACTCAATCTAAAGGTTTCCAATTCAGGAACCCATCTGGCCACTGAGTCCCAGGGATCCTCCTGTCTGTACTTGCCCAGTACTGCAGTCACAAGCACACATCACCAGCTCAGATTTTCACCTGGGTGCTGGGGATCAAACTCGGGTCCCCATGCTTGGGCAGCAACCACTTTGCTGACTAAGCCACCTCCTCAGGTACTGGATCTTAAGACTCAATGGGTAAATTGCATTTTCTCCATATACTAGTTCCATTCTTTGGAACATAAAGATAATGTAAGACCAGTTTCTCAACATTGAGTACATGACATTAGAGCATAGATAATACCAGATGCAAAGGCACAGGAAAAGTCCCACCTTCGTGCAACGTAGAGAACATAGCTGTTTGAAAAGCAGATGGCTCAACCGTTTCCCTTGGCTGCACTGCCAAGGCTGTGGACCCATTGCTAGGACTCAGGACCAGACCGACTTTACACCATCGGGGTGGCCAGAGATTGCAAATTCAAATGGCAGCTTATACAGCTGTTGATCTGCTTACCAGAATGACTGATAATTACCATCCTTCTCAGGATGACACAGGAGCCAAATAGAGGAAAGGGGGTGGCTGGAATGGAGGTGCATCTATGAAGTTTCCAAAATGAGCTGCCACGTACAAAATTTCCTGGAAAATAAAATCTATGGAATAAACTTTAGCAGAGATAGAACAAGAAAGATGGAGCATACAATAGCCAAGTAAGAAGTAAGATTAGTCTTCAATGAATCCATGTTCCTAAGACATGGTACATCCTGACACAGTTACGAAGGGTCCTTAAGAGTAACCCTTCGTAACTGTGTCAGGAGGATGTACCATGTCTTAGGAACATGGATTCATTGAAGACTAATCTTACTTCTTACTTGGCTATTGTATGCTCCATCTTTCTTGTTCTATCTCTGCTAAAGTTTATTCCATAGATTTTATTTTCCAGGAAATTTTGTACGTGGCAGCTCATTTTGGAAACTTCATAGATGCACCTCCATTCCAGCCACCCCCTTTCCTCTCTGCTTCATTCATGGGATATTGTGCCAGCGTTCTAGAATATCTGAAGTTAGAGTCTCCTCACCTGCTCAGCCCTGGAGGCTTGATAGCAGCTCATTAACCTTGTGTATCCACTGCATCTTGCTTTATTAGATTTGCTCATTTGGCTCCTGTGTCATCCTGAGAAGGATGGTAATTATCAGTCATTCTGGTAAGCAGATCAACAGCTGTATAAGCTGCCATTTGAATTTGCAATCTCTGGCCACCCCGATGGTGTAAAGTCGGTCTGGTCCTGAGTCCTAGCAATGGGTCCACAGCCTTGGCAGTGCAGCCAAGGCTGTGGACCATTGCTAGGACTCAGGACCAGACCAACTTTACACCATCGGGGTGGCCAGAGATTGCAAATTCAAATGGCAGCTTATACAGCTGTTGATCTGCTTACCAGAATGACTGATAATTACCATCCTTCTCAGGATGACACAGGAGCCAAATGAGCAAATCTAATAAAGCAAGATGCAGTGGATACACAAGGTTAATGAGCTGCTATCAAGCCTCCAGGGCTGAGCAGGTGAGGAGCAAATCTAATAAAGCAAGATGCAGTGGATACACAAGGTTAATGAGCTGCTATCAAGCCTCCAGGGCTGAGCAGGTGAGGAGACTCTAACTTCAGATATTCTAGAACGCTGGCACAATATCCCATGAATGAAGCAGAGAGGAAAGGGGGTGGCTGGAATGGAGGTGCATCTATGAAGTTTCCAAAATGAGCTGCCACGTACAAAATTTCCTGGAAAATAAAATCTATGGAATAAACTTTAGCAGAGATAGAACAAGAAAGATGGAGCATACAATAGCCAAGTAAGAAGTAAGATTAGTCTTCAATGAATCCATGTTCCTAAGACATGGTACATCCTGACACAGTTACGAAGGGTCCTTAAGAGTAACCCTTCTGAGGATATAGATAGACACATACACACACACACACACACACACACACACACACACACACACACACACACACTCAGACATAAATAACATCATGTGCTGGAGAGATGGATCTGTGGTTACAAACACTGGGTGCTCTTCCAGAGGATCCAGGTTCAATTCCTAGCACCCACATGGCATTCCACAACTGTCTGTAACTTCAGATCCAGGAAATCTAATGCCCTCTTCTGGTCTTCTTGGACACCAGGCATGCACATGATGCACATACATACATGCAAGCAAAACATCCATACACACAGAAGAATAAAATTTTCTCAAAATATCACAACTATATCGTTTTAACATGGCTCTGGATAAGCTCTTTCCAAAATATTATTTACCTACTTACTGTGCACGTGAACATAGAAAGGAACACACAGATATATCAGAAGTGCACATTTAACCATGTGACCATGGAGAATCTAGAATCCCAGTGCCTGGGTAACAGACTGTGTTATGTTAACAATGCTTACAGCATGGCGCAAGGTGAGTTCAGCTGGTAGCTGCTGTTTTCCACAGTGGGTTCAGCATTTTTCATTGATGTGTTTGGGAGGCTGGGGAGTAGCTATTTGTTGTCTCTGTTTAGGGCTTATGTGTAATGTTAACTAGCACCTCTTTAGATAACCATATTTACATATTTACTGTTACCTGTACCCTCAGATATTTACACACATGGGTGTGAAGGCTTTCAGGGCACATCTGAGATGGGTTCTCAGCTATGCAGGACTCCTGGGGGTAATAGATCTGCTGTGGTCTGTAAATCACAAACTGGAGGACTCTGATAATAAAGACAAGGAGTCAGAAAGAGGCTGTTCACTGTAAATAAGCACAGACTTATAAGATGGGAATTTCTCAGGACTGGAGAGATGCTCAGTGGTTAAGAGCACTTGCTGTTCTTCCAGAGAACCCAGGTTCAGCTCCCAGCACCTGAATATGGTGGCTCACAGCCATCAGTAACCAGTTCCAGGGTATCCAACACCCTCTTCTGACCTCCATGGACACCAATCATGCATGTGGTGCACATGAGCATATTTTTACCATGCACATAAAATAAATCAAATTTTAAAAATAAATAAAGGTAGATGTAACACAAATCTTAAAAGATCTTATTAATTAAAAAAAAACCCGAAGCCAGATATTGGGGTGAACACTGAAAAATCAGAGAAACAGAACAAGTCAGCCACGTTCTTATCTCTATGAAATCCTCAGCCTCAAGAGAGAGACTTCCTGCTTACTCACACCTCATATACCTTTCTGTGCCCTGCCATCTTACTTACTTCCTAGTGTTGGGATTAAAGGCATGTGCCGTCACACCTGGCTCTGTTCCCAGTGTGGCCTTGAACTCACAGAGATCCGGATGGCTCTCTGCCTCCCAAATACTAGGATTAAAGGCATGTGCTACCACTGCCTGACCTCTATGTTTAATATAGTGGCTGGCTTTGTCCTCTGATCCCCAGGTAAGCCTTATTGGGGTACACAATATATCACCACAGTTAGGGATGTCTTACTCCACACTTTTCTTTATCATAAAATTTAGAAATTTTTTCATTTTGTGTTTAAAGACTACCTTCATTCAGACATGTGATTCTGAAAAATAAGTTTTCCATTCCCAGAGTAGCCCAATGAGCCACACTAAGTAAATGGGTACATAGAATGAATTATCAAGTCTTACAGTTGATCTTCTCTGCCCAGGCTTGTCCTAGAGATTGAGGGTATATATTTGAATACGTTATAATTTACCTTTTAAATTGTTAAATAAACCCTTGTGAGGATTTGAAAGGGAGAGAGAACGCGTTGCTGACCTGAGTCTGAAACAAGATCCTATCTTGGTCTTCTCAGATTCCCATACAAAATAGCCCATACCAGCTTCAACAGCAGAGGTCTGTTTCCCCACAGCCCTGGGGACTAGTAAGGTGACCAAGGCACCGGTGTGGTCAGTTCTGAGTTTGCAAACAGCCAGACACCTTCTCACATGAGTTCACAAGACTGTTCCCCGGTGTGTACAGGCAGAGTAACAGACAGACAGACAGGGACTCTTCTTCAAAGGGCACCAATCTTGTCCAACTCTCATGATTTCATCACACCCTGATTACCTCGTAAAGGCTCTAACCCCAAGCATCGCCACCATGAGAGCTATAGTGTTAACACATATTTTGGCAGACAGGAGAGCTCAGTCCTACCAAGCAATGATTTTTTTAAATGAATAACAGTGTTCCACCTAAGTTCTATCAGTTTGGAAATTCTTCAGCCCATCCTCTCAGGAACCACAGCATAGGAAGGATTGAATGTCCATCCATCCCCTGTTAAAAGCATCCTTTTGTTCCACACAGAAGCAAAGACCATCACAAACTGCATCAGACAAAGCTGGTCAGTGTTCATTTAGTTCCCACAGTGGATTAGGAGATTACCACTTGGAATTCAACCCAATCCTTTTTACTTTGGTGGTGTTTCATCTTTTTTTTTTCACACTGACTCAGTTACTCTTCTTAATGTTGTTACAAAATACCCGATGAGAAGCAGCTCTCTTTTGACTCAGGGTTCCAGGTGACAGGGTCTGTCACGAAGGCACGCTGCATGCTGCAGGGGTGAGCCAGCCTGTGGAAGCTGAGGAAGGGGACACATGTGCTTTCTCTCTTTTCCCTTTCTACACACTCTGGGACCCTCATGTCGGGTGGTGCTACCCACATTCAGCATGGGTCTTCCTTTCTCTGTGAAGCCACTCTGGAAACATCTTCAAAACATGCCCAGAACTGTACCTCTTAGGTAATTCCAAATTCTAATTTTGGAATTAGGATTAATTAGGAATTAAGATTAATTAATTCGCCGGGCAGTGGTGGCGCACGCCTTTAATCCCAGCACTCGGGAGGCAGAGCCAGGCAGATCTCTGTGAGCTCGAGGCCAGCCTGGTCTACAAAGTGAGTTCCAGGAAAGGCGCAAAACTACAGAGAAACCCTGTCTCGAAAAACCAAAAAAAAAAAAAAAAGATTAATTAATTCAATTAGGAATTGAATTAACCATCAAACCTCTCTAACTCCAGCTAATTCAGATCAGTGAATAAAACCCAAAATGTTTTATTCAGGTATGCCTAACTGGAGACAAACACACTCCTGAGCAAACTCCTGGGCCACACTGCCGATCTCAAGTCTTTGGGGATCTGTATAATTGGCCTAATTCATGTTCAGACAAATGTACAGGAATCTGGTTGGTCTGAGTATGCACTGTGCCTTGAGTGGACGCTCACTCCATTCCAACCAACAGGGCCTAGGACATGTTTGCTTCTTCTGCACAAATAATTCTGGGTAAACATGGCATTGTACAATTGCCTCAGGAATGTTGGGACATTTATCCTATAACATTTATCAACACTACAGACAGATGATGCTCATCCTTGTTGATGAGAAAAACTCATTGGCTCAACAGTTTAGTCCATAAATATCCACTGTAGTGGCATTATCAGTTACTGTGATAAAATACTTGTCCAAAAGCAACGTCAGGAGGGGCCGGAGAGATGGCTGAGTGGTTAAGAACCCTGGCTGGTCTTCCAGAGGACCTGGGCTCAATTCCCAGCACCCATATGGCAGCTTACAACTGTCTGTAACTCTAGTTCCATGGGACAGGATACTCATGGCACAACACCAATGCATATAAAATAAAAATAAATTTTAAAAAAAAGCAGCGTAAGGAAGGAGCTGTTGACTTGGCAAATGCATGAGGCCGACAAAGTGGCTTTAGATGCAGCTCAGGAAACAGAGTGATGGATGCTGGTCCTCTGCTTGCTTGTTTCTTCCTATTCCATCCAGGACCCAGCCCTTGAGGTGTTGCACAATATCCAGGGGAGGCCTTCTGTCTGCAGTAAACCTTCTCTAGAAACACCCTCACAAACATGCCCAGAAGTTCCTCTCCGTGGGAATTCTAAAACAGGTCAAGTTAAAATGAAGACTAACCACCAGAAGTGGCATGCTTTGAACTCTTTCTCTTTTGTGTGTCTAACTAAGGGTTTTAGCTCTGTGGTCACCACAAGGTTTACATAAAGCATCGTATACTGATAGCAGGCTAGCTTGGACCTGAGTTGAACTTGCGTAAATAAATATTCTCCTCCTATATCCCCACTCCTCCCTTAATTTGCTTTGAGGTTTGTTGTTGTTTGGGTTTGGGTTGGGTTAGGTTGCGGTTTTTGAGACAGGGTCTCATATAGCCCAGGTTGGCCTCAAATTATTTGGCTAAGGGTGACTTTGAACTCCTGATCCCCCAGCCTCCACATCTCAGAGACCTGAGGCCCCAGCTTCCACGTCTCGGAGACTGCTTGGATTGTGTTTGCACCAAGCCCAACTTAGAGTTTTGTCTTGCTTTGCGTGTGTGTGTGTGTGTGTGTGTGTGTGTGTGTGTGTGTGTGTGTGTGTTTTAGTCTCTCTACATAGCCTAATCCAGCCTCAAACTTGTAAGCCTTCAGCCGAATGCTAGACCACAGGTGTGTGCCCTCGTGACTGGCTACCTAACGACACATGATGCGTCTTTTATGACACTTAGTCACTGTAGCTATGATTGTTTTAAGTTGTTTTGTCTTTGTCTTTTATTTTCTTTCTTTTGCAGTACTGGGAATTGAACCTAGAAACTCTTACACATGCTGGACAAGCACTTCACCATTAAGCTCCATCCCTCGCCCTCTTTTCTTACTTAAAAAAAAAAAAAGAAAAGAAAAGAAAACCTTTTGAAACAATTCTAATCAAGTTTCCCATGTATGCAGACCCCCACTCCCACCTCCCACCCCCCACCCCCACTCCCACCTCCCACCCACCACCCCCACTCCCACCCCCACCTCCCACCCCCCACCTCCCAACCCCACTCCCACCTCCCAACCCCCACCTCCACATCCCACACCCAACCCCCACCTCCTACCCCCCACTCCCACCTCCCACCCCCCACTCCCACTTCCTACCCCCCACCCTCACCTCCTACTCCCCACTCCTACTTCCTACCCCCCACCCTCACCTACATGAGACCCAGTCTCAAAAACCAAAAAGCAAGAACTATATGGCTTCAAACTCACCCTGTCATTAGACAGGCTTTCGACTTACAATCCTCCTGCCTCAACCTCCAGGCAGCTGTGACTATAGGCCCATGCCACTATCCCCAGCATGCCTTCCTAGTCAAGAGAGAATTTATCTTCACATCACCATTACAGTACACTAAACTGTATAGTGTGACTATATACCATAGTGTGACTATATACTATAGTGTGACTATATGCTATAGTGTGACTATATGCTATAGTGTGACTATATGCTATAGTGTGACTATATACCATAGTGTGACTATATACCATAGTGTGACTATATACCATAGTGTGACTATATGCTATAGTGTGACTATATATCATAGTGTGACTATATATCATACTATGACTATATATTATAGTGTGACTATATACTATAGTGTGACTATATACTATAGTGTGACTATATACTATAGTGTGACTATATACCATAGTGTGACTATATGCTATAGTGTGACTATATACCATAGTGTGACTATATACCATAGTGTGACTATATACCATAGTGTGACTATATGCTATAGTGTGACTATATATCATAGTGTGACTATATATCATACTATGACTATATATTATAGTGTGACTATATACTATAGTGTGACTATATACCATAGTGTGACTATATGCTATAGTGTGACTATATGCTATAGTGTGACTATATGCTATAGTGTGACTATATATCATAGTGTGACTATATATCATACTATGACTATATATTATAGTGTGACTATATACTATAGTGTGACTATATACTATAGTGTGACTATATGCCATAGTGTGACTATATGCTATAGTGTGACTATATACCATAGTGTGACTATATACTATAGTGTGACTATATACTATAGTATGACTATATACCATAGTGTGACTATATGCTATAGTGTGACTATATACTATAGTGTGACTATATACTATAGTATGACTATATACTATAGTGTGACTATATACTATAGTGTGACTATATACCATAGTCTGACTATATACCTTAGTGTGACTATATACCATAGTCTGACGTGTGACTGTATACCATAGTCTGACTATATACTATAGTGTGACTATATACCATAGTGTGACTTTATACTATAGTGTGACATATACTATAGTGTGACTATATACTATAGTGTGACTATATACCATAGTGTGACTATATGCTATAGTGTGACTATATACCATAGTGTGACTATATACCATAGTGTGACTATATGCTATAGTGTGACTATATATCATAGTGTGACTATATATCATACTATGACTATATATTATAGTGTGACTATATACTATAGTGTGACTATATACTATAGTGTGACTATATACCATAGTGTGACTATATACCTTAGTGTGACTATATACCATAGTCTGACGTGTGACTGTATACCATAGTCTGACTATATACTATAGTGTGACTATATACCATAGTGTGACTTTATACTATAGTGTGACATATACTATAGTGTGACTATACTATAGTATAACTATATATCTTTTGCCACTATATACCATAGTGTGACTATATACTATACTATGACTATATACCATAGTGTGACTATATACTATAGTGTGACTATATACTATTTTTCTACTGACTTTTATGTTCATGTTTTCACATTGCCATCCAGCAACCTTTCAAGGTCCTATGCTCACAGAACGGGTAACGCACAGCCTGCTTCTGATGCCCTTCCTGTTGGATCATTTATGCCATAGTACAGTGTGTGGAAGAAAGTCTTTGAACTGAAGTCAGCAGCCTAAATTTGCCATATTGGTAAGCCATACCTTTTTTTTGGGGGGGGGAGGGTTTCGAGACAGTGTTTCTCGGTATAGCTTCGGAGCCTGTCCTGGAACTTACTCTGTAGCCCAGGCTGGCCTCGAACTCACAGAGATCCGCCTGCCTCTGCCTCCCGAGTGCTAGGATTAAAGGCGTGTGCCACCACCGCCTGGCTAGTGAGCCATACCTTTAATTTGCTATTATAAGTTCAAATCTATAATCATCTCACTAGATGAAGTAAAAAAAGAAATTCACAGTAGGATCTGTATATTATATTGTTCTCTCTCTCTCTCTCTCTCTCTCTCTCTCTGTGTGTGTGTGTGTGTGTGTGTGTGTGTGTGTGTGTGTGTGTGTGATCTTAGTTTTAGATAAATACAAATACAAATAACCCCATGTTGGTGCATGGGTTCATATGTTAACCTGTGTGTTTGTATCTCTGTATGTGTGAGCATGTGTGAGTACAGAAAGTAAAAAGTGAAAGAAAGCATTTGTTCTAGGACACTAACATTTAATTACTGCAGATGGAATTAGGGACTCACTTTTTTATTGCTTCATTATAATTATCACATATTACTCTTGTAAAAAAAAAAAAACGAGAGCCATAGAGAGCATTAGTAATCCTGTTTCATTATTATGAAGAAATAACTGAAGCGCGTTAACATTATAAAGAAAAGAGGGTTTGTTAGCTCACATCTCCTGATACTTGAGGTACACACACCAGTCCCGATGTGGAGGGTGGAAAAGGAAGTACCTCATCTAAAGTAGGCTGCCAAAGACACAGGAGTCCCACTGTCCCTTGGGGGCATACCTCCAGTTAACTAAGTCCTCCCACTAAGCCCCACCTCTTCCAGGTTCTGCTGCCTCTCCACTGCCAGAAACCCTCAGGGGACAGACTCTAAGAGTTATAAACCACAGCAGATATCAGATCAGCATGGTGCTTAGATGTTCATCCAGAGTTTGGGCATGGTTTGGTGCTGGTAATGTAAATTGTTTTTTTGGATTTTTTTTCTTCTGTGTATTTGGCTAATTCTTGCCCTCTTTAGTTCTTTTGCAAGAATATTTAGATGTGGTCCTAAATAGACCACAGTTACCTAATTAGACTTATCTAATTTAAATAGCAGTTTCCAATTTTTTTGTTTTTTGTAATTTTGAGACAAGGTCTCATCATGTAGTCCTGACTGGCCTGGAACTCACAGAGATCCACCTGCCTCTGCCTCTGCCTCTTGAGTTGCTGGGCAGTTTTTATTTTTTTCAATATTTTTTATTTCATGTATATGAGCATACTTAGCAAGCTCCAGGCCAGCCATGTGTACATAGTGAGACCTTGCCTCAAAAACAAAACAAAAAAGAAAAAATTTGGGTCCTAGAGAGATGGCTCAGAGGTTCAGAGCACTTTCTGATCTTCTAGAGGAACTGTGTTCAGTTCCCAGGATACACATTGGCTCACAATCCCTTAACTCCAGCTTCAGGGGATCCAGTGCCCTCTTCTGGCCTCCTCAGAAAGTTATGCCTGTCCTGCACCCATCTCCTCATTAAAAGTGAGCTCTTCCACAAAGGAGATCCTACTCCCAGCTCCACCACCACAGGATGGAAAGTTCTTGTTCATCTCACTCCTCCTGCCTCAGAAATGCTGACGGGAGCCTTGATTCATCTCTCCACGGACAGCAGAACCCCTGAGCATTTGCAGGATTAGGAAAGGGCACCACTGACTTCAATTCCCTGTCATACTTTGTACTCTTTCCCAAGAAAATGTGAGAATATTCACAAGCAAGCAGATCTGGACATTCGTAAAAGTCCTTGCCATGTGAGGTTCATATTTTCTTTTCCTCTACAAGTGGGAGCTGTCAAAAACAAATTAAGTAATTATATGGTGTTGCCACAGCTGTGTGTATTCCTCATCGCATGACATGACCGTGGCTAGGGGATGACTTTCTCCTGCCTAGGTTGCAAAGTGTTTATATTGGAAGGTGTGTTGTCAGGGCACACTCAGCTGTTGCCAGAAAAACAAAGTAAATAAAAGTGATATTAATGACATGGCACAGCTTTGCGGGTTGTGTGTATGTGTGTGTGCATGCATGTATATGTATGTACATGCAGAAGTGTGTATATGTGTGTGATTATGTTTTTGAGTCTGTGCACACATGCTTTTATATTTATATATGTGTATGTATGTATGTACATGTATGTATATGTTTATATGCAAGTGTACAGTAGATGCTGGGTTTTCCTATGACAATAATGCTGATTAATATTTTTCCTAACTACTAGAAAAATCTCATAAACATAAAAGCAGAATGTTTGCCAACTGTCAAATAACTCAATAAATAGACTATCCTTAGTACCAAGAGGGTTTACCAGCCACGCTATTTTTAAAAATTAGTAATCTCCATTGAAAAACTTCATATAAGTAAATAAAATCTGTTCATTCAAGGAAATGGTATCGTTGAGCTGATAGTCCGACAAGGTACGTTTGGGTTTTGATGATGATCTTGTCTGATACATGTAGAAAAATATTAAAAAGTTGGAGAGATTGATTTCTCCATCATGCACCCAAAGTGTGCAGTGACTTCAGCAGTAGGGTCTCAGCGTGCGGAGACGGTAGGCGACCAAGAGAATGACAGCAGCCTATGCTGTTCTGGGTCCTCTGTACCCTCCCCCAACACCTCATAGGGAGGAATCTCAAATCTCAAGCTAATCTGAAAACTTTCTCCCTGCTAGGCAGCTCTCATGGTGCCTATGGTTCTGGAGGGTTAGAGTCCATGACGGTTATGGAAGGAACATGGCAGCGTGCAGGTAGGCCTAGTGCTGGAGCAGTGGCTGAGAGCCATACCTCAGCTATAACACAAAACAGAGAGCGCTAATTGGGAGTGGCACAAGTCTTTTGAAAATCAAAAGCCCATCCACAGTGACACACCTCCTCCAACAAGGCCACACCTCCTAATCCTTCCCAAACAGTTCCAGCAGCTGGGAATCAAGTATTCAAATACATAAGCCTATGTGGGACATTCTCATTGAAACCACCACTAGGGTGTAGCTATGTAGGCTGCTAGGGACAAAAAGAGAGCAATGGTCTTACCTAGCACTGCTGGATCCCAAGTGCTGCAATATGGGCCTGCTAAGTAATGTGTGCCCACCGATACAATAGTGGCACTGATGTTAAGAGATAATTAATGAATTTCTGATTAGATTTGAAGCCTGTCCATAGTAGGGAATTTCATGCCTAGTACTGTAATACTGATCAAAAACTCATGGCTGGGAAAGTCATGGGCCCTAGGGTAAGTCCTGCTTTTGTTATTTTGCTAAATGCTCATGCTGTCAAATGTCCTTCTAAATATTTTTGTTTATGCCCATAGACCTGAACTGCTCTAATCTTGGTCACAGAAGTTTCTTTTTGCAGTGGGCAGCAATAAATGTAATGACATATAATTGGTCAGAGTATTGAGAATAAGAGATGGAGTGCCCATCCCTAAATGGTACATCTGTATCAAAACCCTCCCCTGCCAAGCCTCAGGGATCATCACAGAGGTGGAGTCAGAAAGAAGGTAAGAGCCAGAGGATGGGAAGAGTGCCATAAAGTATTATCATCTGGACATGACATGGCTATCCAAACCATGAACTCACAGTAACTGTGGCTACCTGTACAATACCTATACAAGTTCAAGTCAGAAAAAAATCCCTAGCCTAGATGGGGCAATGATCGCTGGGCCCCACAACTTACTGAGGCCCAACGCTTACTGAGGAGCTATTGGGAACTGAGCATGGAAAAGCATTCTTTTTTGAGAATGTGGCCACTGACAGATTTCCCATGGTCCAATGGATGGCCCTACATCCATGAATGTATAGGCAGCACTAACCAGACTTAGTTATTAGTGGGTTATTTAAAAAAAAAAAAAGGGCCGGGCGGTGGTGGCGCACGCCTTTAATCCCAGCACTCGGGAGGCAGAGCCAGGCGGATCTCTGTGAGTTCGAGGCCAGCCTGGACTACCAAGTGAGTTCCAGGAAAGGCACAAAGCTACACAGAGAAACCCTGTCTCGAAAAACCAAAAAAAAAAAAAAAAAAAAAAGGCTGGGTGTGATGGTACAGGCCTTTAACCCCAGCACTTACACAGCTACCTGTAAGTACAGCTCCAGGGTACTCAACACCCTCATCTGGCCTCTGTGGGCATTCCATGTACATGGTGCACATACATACACACAGGCAAACATTCATACACACAAAATTAAAACCAATAAATATTTTTACAAGAAAGAGAAAATAAAAGAGGTACCACAAGACCAGAAGAAATGCTAACAAAGAGAGGCTGGGGCATGCTAAGGCATGAATTTCCAAGAGATAAGAGAAACAGCCACATGTAAGCCTGTGACAAACTGAATGGAGAGAGAATAAGAGAAAAGTCCCTTGTGGCACAAGGGCTACTGTTCAGCCATAGCCGTTGCCAAAGGAGAAGAATGTGGGGATGAGTGGGATGAGATGGGATAGGATGGGTGCTGGCTCTGCAAAGTCAGCAGGAGAGACAGTGTTGGGAGGACACCGGAGACACTCGAGCTGTGGGAGTTGATGAGTCAGGCAAGAAGAACTCACCCCAGTTCCCGCTCCACCACCACATCAAAGGCTCAAGGATCAGCCAAAAAATGTTCAACTCAACCATTGCACAAGCGATCTTGGACCTTGAGAATATAACCAAGTTATTGGGATAAACACCCTAGCCAGATTTTTGTGGACTTGGGATGAAATGATCAAATGACTTTTTCTAAGGGAGGTGAAACGGAAGGACAATGTTTAGGCTGCACCCTCAACACTCTGCAACTGTAATAAGGTAATTCTAGAACTCTGTGAATAACTTAACGGAAAATCATGACTTGCAAAAACCTAAATCATAGTCCCAGACTATTGTCTCTAGAAGTCTGTGTTCTCTGGGATTTTTGAGGGGTGTGAGTCCTGTATCCACTTAGCATCAGGTCTAGAAATCCAAGGTCGGTGTGCGGCTCCCTCTACT